GCCCCAGGGGGCCCCCCGGGGGCCTCCTCTTATCGTCGTATGTCTGCTGCAGCAGACAGCTGGAAGCAGCTGAGCGATTCGCTTGAAACGGAAGTAGGGCAAACGCAGGTGGTGGAAGGGGTGGGGTTGGTGTTGCTGCATCGTTCTGCATGCGTGTGCATGCAAGAGCAGCAGGAACATGAGCAAGAAGACGAAGAAGAAGCAGAAGGTGATGCAGCAATGCCTTGGGCAGGAGGGATGGGGCCCCCACCCCCACCAACAGCTCAAGGGGGGGCCCTAGGGGGGACCCTTAGTAGAGGAGGTTGGCCAGGAGGTGCTGCGAAGCAGAGCATCGTGCCTACAGGAGCAGAAGCAGCAGGAAGCAGCAGGGGTGGTTCGGCTGCATCTGCAACAGATGTTTATTTTTCTACTGGGGGTTTAGTTGGTCTTGTGAATTTAGCTAACACCTGCTTTCTGAATGCTGCAGTGCAGTGTCTGTCTGTCGTTTTGCCGTTCTCTCGCTATTTTCTTAGCGGGGCGTACAGAAGAGATATTAATATGAATAATTGCATGGGCACTCAGGGCAGACTCGCAGATGCTTATGCAAAGACTTTAAGGGTAAGTAATAATATTAATAATAAGTAATATAATAATTATATAATAATTGTAATATTGTTAAATAGTTTCAACAAGAATAATGATTGGGTGGCGAATAAAGAGCTTTCTCTCTTCGTCTTCTTCTTTTCTTTATTCTTCATCTTCGTATTCTCCTTTTTGTTTTTGTTTTCCTTCTTCATATTCTTCTCATTTCTGTTTTTCTCCTTATGCTGGTGACTCCGTTTTTTTGTTTTTCTTCGTTTCTGTTTCTTTGTCAGTTTACTTTTGTTTCTATCCTTCAGTGCATATTTGTTTTATCTGAATGGAATGACTTTAATATCCTTTTTGTTTGTTTTTCTTCTTGTTTCGGGTGTATAGGCACTGTGGGCGTCTAGGGATTCCGCCTTTGCTCCTCGCGAATTGAAATGGGCAGTAGGCGAAGTCAGAGAGGAATTTTTAGGGTTTGCACAGCAAGACAGTCAGGAGTTGTTGGCGTTTTTATTAGATGGGCTCCATGAAGATCTTAATCGAGTTCGCAAGAAGCCTTATTATGAGGTTTGTTCGCGCTCTTCTTGTCTTCTAGCTACTGTTGCTGCTGATGCTGATGCTACTGATGCTGCTGATGCTGATGCTACTGATACTGCTGCTGATGCTGATGCTGCTGTTGCTGATGCTGTTGATGCTGATGCTGCTACTCTTATGCTGCTGCTGCTACTCTTATGCTGCTGCTGCTACTCTTCTGCTGCTGCTGCTGCCACCCTTATGCTGCTGCTCCTACTGTCATGCTGTTGCTGCTACTGTTCTTTGGTTTCGTGTTGGTATTATGCTTCGTCTTTACATTGGGGTTGTTGGTTTGTTTGCTTCTTTTTTCCTTTGTTTTCTTTCTGTTGCTTGCTTGCCTGTTTATTTGTTTGTATGTTTGCTGATGTATGTATGTGTAAACGTATATATATCATAAATAAATCAAATAAGCATATATATATATTATATGTTTGTGTGTTTAGGATAAGATAGAGGGTGCAGCAGGAATGAGCGACAGCGTAACGGCATTACGAAGCTGGCGGCGTCATTTAGAGATTCATAATTCAGTGGTGGTGGATTTATTTCAAGGACTTTATCGTTCTTGTTTGCTTTGCCCGCATTGTAATCGTTTATCTATTACCTTTGATCCCTTTCTTAATCTTTCGCTTCCTCTTCCTCATGCAGCATCGCTAAGAATTTGTATTAGTGTTGCGCTCGAGATCTCTAAAGCATTTTCTGCTGATGTTCAAGCCGTGCTGCCTCTCACGCAGCAGCAAGCAAAGGCTATGGCTCTTGTAAGTTACCTCTTAACTTTGCTGCTGCTTCTGCTGCTGCTGCTGTTCCTGCTGCTCTTCTTTTGCTGATGTTCGTCTCTTGCTGCTGTTCTATGCTGCTGCTGTTCCTGCTGCTGTTTGTGTTGCTGGTGGTGTTGCTGGTGGTGTTGCTGTTCTTGCTGCTGTTCATGTTGCTGTTGCTGTTGCTCTTCCTGCTGCTGTTGCTGCTGCAGTTATTGTTGCTGGTGATGGTGGCGTTGTTATTTATCTTTTCTGTTTTTCTTTGTTTGCTTCTTCCTTTCTCTTTAGAGGAGTTTCTTGTCTTGTGCATGCATTTTGTTGTTCTGTTTGTATTTTTCTGTTTTGTTTGTGTTTTGTTATTTCTGTAATTCATAAAGACGTTGCTTTTTTTGTATTTGTTTCTTTTGTCTTCTCCCCTGTGAAGGAATTCTTTTATTCTTTTCTTATTCTCTCTCTTTTCCTCTCTTTGTATGTCTGGCTGCAGCGAGTGCTGCATGCAGCATTAAATGATGAAATGCCGCATGCAAATTTAGTGGAAGAAGAAAAAGAAACCCTAGCAAAGCAAATCTGCCACTGTACGTACAACCCGCAATTCGTGTATATCCAAACCTATATATTTACATCTATATATATATATATATATATATATATATATATAT